TATGTTATATTCATAAGCATACTTCCATAAAACATATAGAGTGCAATGTCACAACATCCTTCAGAACTTTTCTGGGCAATAAAGCATGTAGTAACCCCAGACTGCCTCCATTCAACCCAAGAACCCAGAATCCAACACTGAGAAGACTAATATTACTTCCTAGAGAAGGTTACCTACATCTCATGGACTACCCTGATCCCTGCTTTTCCTGGATGGAACAGCAACCAACCCCTCACGACTCTTAATAATGAAGATAGTCAACTCTTCCTTAGATAAGGGATGTTCTAATTATTATTATTTATGCAGTGTATAACCATGACACTAATTTAACCATAAATTCCTTTACTAAATCCAAAAGCTGAATGGTATTTATACAATTGCTCTAAAACCTCTAAAAAGCATATGTGATAAACAATTACTGCATACAATCAGTAACAAAATAATTATAAGCATTTGGTCAAGATAGTTACAAATAGGCTAACCCCCAGGGTGCTTAGACCCATATTAGTCGGCTCCAACTTGGTCATGCAGATATTACTAATGAACCCTTCAAAAGTTCGCTTTTGTGTACCCCTTAACAAACAATGTCATTCCTAATTCTCAGATTTCAGCTAAGGCTAGATGAAGCAGTTTCTTATATAACCAATTATTTACTGCACCTGGTACCTAATTAACGTGTTTTATTTCTATTACTTTAGCCAAACCTTCAATAAAATAGCACTGGTATTCCAAAGTTCACAACCTGTTTAACACAACAATTGTTCTTTCTCATGATCTCATGCTTTTTTGGTCCCATATTTTGGGCCTATGGCTCATGCTAAGCTCTCAGCTACCATAGTTCACCCAAAACTAATGTGGGCCTATATTCCTAAGGAATGTATAATAGATCAACTAGTGATAAAGAAACGGTGCTAGTTAACTCACAAAATAAATATTGTATCCATTTTCCATCCAGCTACAGAGCTAGCCAGAAAAATTCAACAAACATTTTGATGAAAAATGGGAAGGAAAATGTTTACCAATGTTTTTTTCATTCTCCAACCAATTCTACCTCCTATACTTGCTGAGCAGTTTCAAGAAATCTCCCTGTCAGATGTGGGAGGGATTAGAAGACCAAATACAGGGGGGAGAGTTCCCAAATCTGTCTAATGTGAAGTTTCTTGCACCTTCCTCTGAAGCATCTGGTGCTGGCGACCGTTGGAGACAAGATATCAGACTAGATGGACCACTGGCCTGTTCCAGCACAGCAATTCCTATGTGCTTGTGTTCTTCATTTTGGTATGTGGGATATCTAGGAGTCACATTGTTTATTAAAAATACCCCAGAACATTAAAATAAGCTTGCTGATTCAGTAACAATGAAGCACACTTATAAAACAGGGTAAATGGAATATACTCAGTTTTTATGTTACAAGGAAAAAATATAGTCACAACTTTTTCATAACTATGAATGCTGGCATGTGGTTGGGTAAAAGTTTCCATTTCCTGGTTAATATTACCTGTCAATGATACAGCTACACTGATAAAATGCCTAATTACGCCATGAAAACATCTGCAATTCAAAAATGTCAAATCATTTGCTTGCTGCAGTCAGTATGAAAGATTCCAGATGTAGAATGAAACCTTGTAGTCCTGGTCCTTCGCAATCAGCAAAGCATACAGCCTGGTACCATGCTTAGTGACAGACACAAAATGACATCACTCTTTATTTTTAACGAATTAGCTGCCTTTTGGTGAGTTCATCTGCTGCTAACCAGTATAACAGGAGTGTTAGTCACATCAGGCTTTAAAGAGACAGCATCACCGTGTTCAGTCTGATCCCAGTAGCCAGCAGTTCCTGGTGCCAAGAGGGAGTTTCTTTAGTTTCAAATTAAGGTCTGTGCCTTCAGTCTGTAGGCAGAATGGATTATTTAAGACTTCTCTTAAAGGGATGGTAATGTATATTGTACCATCAAGGATCTACAAACACCAAGAAAAGACATTCATATGAACAAAAACATTACAGTTACATTAAATAGGATAAACATTTATGAGATATAAATCCTTGTGCTTCAAGGCATAACCAAGTCAGCCACTAACTGCCTACTGATGCTGAACTAGACAGACCACTGGTCTGATCCAGTCTGGCAGTTCCTACATCCCTGGGATAACATGATTTTGGTAATTAATTGATCTTTAAATATTCATGGTAAATAGGCCCAATGGCCTGTGATGGGATGTTAGATGGGGTGGGATCTGAGTTACTACAGAAAATTCTTTCCCTGGGTATCTGGCTGGTGAATCTTGCCCATATGCTCAGGGTTTAGCTGATCGCCATATCTGGGGTCGGGAAGGAATTTTCCTCCAGAGCAGATTGGAAGAGGCCCTGGAGGTTTTTCGCCTTCCTCTGTAGCATGGGGCACGGGTCACTTGCTGGAGGATTCTCTGCTCCTTGAAGTCTTTAAACCACGATTTGAGGACTTCAATAGCTCAGACATAGGTGAGAGGTTTTTCGCAGGAGTGGGTGGGTGAGATTCTGTGGCCTGCGTTGTGCAGGAGGTCGGACTAGATGATCATAATGGTCTCTTCTGACCTTAGTATCTATGACCTCTATTATCACACATACTGTGCAGTGGTTCCTAAAATAGAGCCAGATAGGATCTGGCTTTAGGGCAGGTTTATCAGCATAGGAGGGTTCAAAGAGCCTCCTTCCATCCCTCTCCTTGTATAATGATATGGACAATCTCAGCCTTTCTGAGGGGGAATGGAGGGACTGCTTCCTCCAGGACCCCAGGGGGAGCTCAGTAATCCCAGATGCACATCCAGTTATATTTGCTACCTATCCCCTCTGCCACCCTTTTTGTTTGTCTTATCTACCTGTTATGTCTTGTCTTTCGGATTGTAAATTATTTGGGGAAAAGACTGGCATATATTATGTGTCAGTATAGTGCTAGCACAATAGGGACCAAGCTGGTTGCGACCTTTAGGTCACTGGTGGTCAGCTGGTCAGTAGAACTGGATGGGTGTGCTGAGAGCAAATGCTGCATTGCCTCTGCTCACTGAGGATCTAGGAGAGGGATAGTGCCTCTACACTGTCCCTAGTCAAGCCTGTGACACAAGCTAGCCCACAGACTGCCATCCTGTAATGATTCATTGTTCTGAACAGCTCCAACATAGGGTACATAAGGTACAGCATACCTCCTTCTAAAATTGTCACTATATCATTCAAGAGAACAGTGATGCACTGATAAAGAGAAACCGCATACTTCCTCTCACAGCATAGCCGTAAGAGGAAAGACCATCAGAAATACTTATGTGGTACTTTTATCCAAATAAAGAAACTCACAGACAAAAAGCACAGGGAAGATGTTTTAAATTAAAGTAGATGCTTGCAAAAAATAATTTTAAATATCATCACTATGGGCTGGTTCCACTCTTCAGCCGGGTACATGGTAGATATGTCATATCATGATGCCATAACTTTTGGAGGAAGCCTAAAATGTGTGTGGGTTGGGGGGGAGGGAAAGTAAATGTAACGATTTATGCTTGATATCAGGATCATTCAGCACATAAAGATTCAACTAGATCATTAACCAGAGTTTGGGAAACTTCAGGGTGCCACATAAAATGTTTCTGTTTGAGATTGTCATTGACCAGGACTATTTTACATGCAGGTAGTGTTGGTGTTCTTGTAGACTCTTTTTTATCTCTGTTTTATTACTTCTGTTGAGGTGATGGACGCAATTTATAAATCAAATAATTAAAAAGTAATGTAGCTATAAATCACCTGTAAAACTATTATTCTTACGCTGTACCCTGGCCAATATTAATATGTTGAAAAAAGTGGGCATTTTGGTGATTAAAACTCTGGAAGTTGGAAACCCTTGCCCAGTCTGCCACCTTGAGGATATTTCCAACTGTACCCCACGAGAGGTGACTCTGTGGCCAAACACATGGTCAGTTTCTCAATTATGTGACTACCCAGAGCTTCCATTGATTGACTTCAGTCTGAGATTTGGGTTTTCAACATAGCTAAAAATCAGAAAAAAACAGGGCTCTCACACCCTTATGAACACCATTGATTTTACCTACACAAGAAGCCCTGTTGACTGACATAGGACCACTCACGTGCGTTAAGTGTTTACAGGCCGAAAGAAAGATGTTCTCCCACAGCAGTAATAATGGAGAGATTGTTGAAAAACATTAAAAATGCATTTGAGTTTTCATATAGAATATACATATATGATATATATATATAAACTCATGCATTTGTAGTATCCCCATATGAAACATTAATGGATCTCTCAATTACTGCTGCTGCGGGAGAACATCATTCTTTATTTTTAAAAATTAATTGAATCCTTGGAGACATCATACTTACAATGTATTTATAGGTACAGTAAACTGAAAAGAGGTGCCTCTGCTGAGATCAGTCATAACCTAACCTCCCAATACCCCCTGCAGTAGGCGAGAAAGTGGAGGGGAAGAAAGAAGAGAGTGAAAAATAAAGTGACGTGTGGCAGTGTGCTAAAGTGAGGCGGTGTTGGGCTCATCTAGATTCTTTCTTTTTTTATTTTATTTTTATTATTTTTTGTCGCCAGCTGCTGCTGCTTTTTCTCCCCTACTCCTTAAGCACAATAACAATCCGACTTTGCCCTCACATCGGTGCCTTTCCGTCAGCACAAGGCAGGGCAGCACCACTATTCATCAATTTACAGACGAGGGCACTGAGGCACGGAGCGATGCCTTGACTAGCCCAAGGACCAGACCCCCAGGCCACCGGTGGCCCACGTGCCAGGCACAAGACACTGAGGGGAGATGCTCCGCACGCCACGGCCCTGGGCACCAGCAGCGCCCTGCGCAGCCTCCCCGGCCCCCGCGGGCAGGGACCCTGCTGGGAGCCCCGCCCCCTGGCCGCCCCGTCGCCCGAGCGCACGGCCGCCCCGCCCCGCCCCGCCCCCGAGCCGCTGCCTCCTCGCGCCTCCCTCATCCCTCCCGCGGCTGCGCGGGGTCCTCCTGCCCGCTAGGTGGGGCGCTGGCGGCTCTGTGCGCGTGCTCGCGGCCGGTGCCGCAGGGTGGTGATGGGCGCCAGGGTGACTCGCGTGTTCCGCAACTTCAACCTGGAGAGCCGGGCCACCCGCGAGATCAGCAAGGAGAAGCCCACGTCCGCCCCCCGCCACCCCGTCGCCAGGCCGGGCCCGCTGCCCGGTGAGTGCCCGCGGCCGGCGCTGCGCCCCAAGGCCACGGGGGAGGGACCTAGGGAGCGGGAGCGGGGGGGCTGGGGTTACAGGGGGCGGGGGGAACGGGGGTGTGTGTGTGTGTGTGTGTGTGTGGTGCGGGGTGGTTACACGCTGCGCGTGCGGGGGGTTACGGGGCAGTAGGGCGCGCGCGTTCCTGGGGCGGGGGGATTATGAGGGCCGGGCGCGTGCGCGGAGCGGTGGTGGAGGCCTGGGGGTTTCTGGGGCGGGGCGGTGCAGGGTATGTGCCAGGGGCGGGGGTTCCGGGGGTGGGATGCAGGGTATGGACATGGGGGAGGGCGGGCAGGATGCAGGGCGTGAGGGGGTTACGCAGGGTATGGGGGGTTACGAGGGGGTGGGATGCAGGGTATACGGGGGTTACGGGGGGTGGCACATCTACAGTGGCACAGCTGTGGTACTTTTCTCAGAGTAGCAGCCGTGTTAGTCTGTAGCCGCAAAAAAGAAAAGGAGGACTTGTGGCAACTTAGAGAATAACGCATTTATTTGAGCATAAACTTTCGTGAGCTACAGCTCACTTCATCGGATGCATTCAGTGGTACTGCCGCTGTAACACTAGTATAGGTGCTTCCTACAACCATGGAAGGGTTTTTTCCATCAATGTAGTTAATCCACCTCTCCAAGAAGTGGTAGGTAGGTCATTGGAAGAATTCCCAGCTGTGTCTACACTGAGTGTTAGGTTGAGCTAATTATGTCATGTAGGGCATGACATTTTTCACAGCCCCTGAGTGATGTAGCTTGACTGATATAATTTTCAGGTGTATACCAGGCCTCACTGTTGTTTAGTATTGCACTTTCTTTTCGTGAATAGGCATAATTAATTCTCCTTTCCCTGTGTACAAGACAACATTAAGTATTGTGAATATCAGAACTAATGCAAAAATGAGATTTCCCTGGAAGTGTTCACATGCTTTCATTTTCACTTGAGTTGTGTGATGTCTCATGGGTAAGGCCCGATCAAATTCACAGCCATGAAAAACACGTCATGGACTGTGAAATCTGGTCTTCCCTGTGAAATCTGTTTTTTTGTTTGCTTTTACCCTATTCTATACAGATTTCGCACGTGAGAACAGTGTTTCTCAAATTGGGGATCCTGACCCAAAAGGAGTTGAAGAGGGATCACAAGGTTATTTTAGGAGGGTCACGGTATTGCCACCCTTCTGCGCTGACTTCAGAGCTGAGTGGCCAGAGAGTGGTGGCTGTTGGCCAGGCGCCCAGCTCTGAAGGCAGAATTCTGCCAGCAGCAGCACAGAAGAAAGGTTAGCAATACCATACCACGCCACCCTTATTTCTGTGCCAGCTGCCTTCAGAGTTGTGCAGCTGGAAAGTGGTGGCTGCTGACCAAAGGCCCAGTTCTGAAGGCAGCAGCGCAGAAGTAAGGATGGCAATACCGTATCATGCCATCCTTACTTCTGTACTGCTGCTGGTGGTGGCTCTGCCTTCAGAACTGGGCTCCTGGCCAGGAGCCACCACTCTCCAGCTGCTTATCTCTGAAGGCAGCAGTGCAGAAATAAGGGTAGCAGTACTGCAACCCCCCCTACAATAACCTTGTGACCCCCCCACAATCCTTTTTTGGTCAGAACCCCTACAATTACAGCACTGTGAAATTTCAGATATAAATATCTGAAATCATTAAATTTACGATTTTTAAAATCCTATGACTGTGAAATTGACCAGAATGGAGCATTAGTTTCATGGGGCCCTACTCCTGGGCATTATAAACCATGAAGTATAAGCCAACAAGAATATTAGCAAGAGAGAGTGATTTTCTTCTTTAAATCTTTTTTCTTATTTGATCCAGAAATCCAAGAGGAAATTCGCAGAAAAGATGACAAACTTCTCGCCTTATTAAAAGAGGTTTACGTTGATTCCATAGATCCACCTATGCAAGTGAGCATGTCTTCTTTCTGTAATGGGTATAGCAGCAAGCACTTTTCAGATGACAAAAGCAACATACCAAAGCTCATATGATGAATAGGCTTTATGAAGTCTGTCGTCTTTGTAGCTCACTAGCTGTTAATAGATGAAACTGAGCTTTTTTTATTGCTGTTTTGTATTTCAGTTGTTTAATTAGAAGTCTGATTTCAAGGTCACATTCCTTATTTGAGTGCCATCAACCTTTTTTTGTGCCCGCAGTTTTCCTTCCTCTGTATGAAGCTGTCTATACAGGCATGTTCATCTGTCATATAGAGACTCCAGCTGTGTGCACCTTCCTTGTGCCACAGTCCCAAAAGTATACTCACAAATTTGGGTTTCCAGAAGGTTAAGCAGCCAGTCTGTGGAAGGGATGGGAAATAGAATTCCTAATGATGCTATAGATGGTAGAAGAAATTGGAACTTGTGTGGGAGAGGGTTTGTGTTTCTGCTGGAGAGCAAAGAGGCTAGTACCAAGAGTAAAGAAATTATTAAAATATCACTTAAAACTCTGGTGTCCCTTTAAGTGAAGCCATGTATCTGTTTGGGTGAGGAAATGGTAAGATGTTTTATTTATATTTTCCTGTACAATTTTCTAGATTTTTTTTTCTCATGAAACGGATGAACTAAGAGCAGTTGTCTGTGTGATCTGCATGCAAGGCTCAACATATTGGCATTAGATTAAAAAAAGTTAGTCCTAGGCCTCTCTTATGCTTGTTTTCAGTTTGTTTATAGTGGTATTCTCCCCAGGATGCGAGAGAGACAAGGTGGATGAGATAATATCCTGACCTGGAGAAGAGCTCTGTGGAGGTCGAGAGCTTGTCTCTTTCACCAACGGAAGTTGATCCAGTAAAAGATATTACCTCATCCACTTTGTCTCTCTCTTATATTTGGCATTTCTGTAGCACCTTCCATCTAAGACAAAATGTTTTTTAGACATGTTAATGAATCCCCCATAATGTCCATGTGAGATATGTAAATAATGTTATCTCCATTTTACTTGGGTAATAGAGAAGCTAAAAACCTAATCCTGCATAGTGCCGAACACCTGATTTCAATGGAAGTTGGTGCTGCTCAGTACCTTGAAATATATGTGACAAAACTTTCATATGTCTATTCCTGAAATTAGGCATCTACATTCACATTAACACCTAAATCAGTGGCCTGATTTTCAGAGGTGCTAAGCACCAGCAGCTCCTACTGACGTCAGTGGAAAACGTTGGTGTTCAGCTATTCAGAAAACTAAGCTATTGATTTAGATAACATTTGGTCATGGTAACTATTTCTGAAACTGTGGTCTATATAGAACACCATGCTTTGAGGATAAAGTAGCGTTGGATTATGGTAGTAATTACTCAGCTTTCCAAAGGGGTCTGCATCTCCATTTGAAATGTTTTAGGGGTCCACAAATGAAAAAAGATTGAAAACCACTGGATTACGGTCTAAGAAAGAGAGGCAGTCCATGAGGATCAAAGTCTTCACAATAGAAAAACTGGAGAGCCTCTTATTTTTAATTAAAAGGAAACTTTAATTAAAGAAATAGGCAGGAAATGTGCAGTACACAGACTAAACAGAACTCTGATTGACTTGAACTTTTTTTTCTCCTCCCACACTAGGTAAAAGACAAAGGTGGAAGTAAACAGCAGGAATACAGACTTACAAAACTTGGTCATTTAAGGGATCTAGATATTCCGAGCATTCCCAAAGGCAAAATTTCTGTGGTGGAGGTTCTGACTCTTCTCAATAATCATAAACTTTCTCCACAAACATGGACCACAGAGAAAATAGCAAAGGAGTACAATATAGACTTGAAGGAGGTCACCTCTCTCTTAGAATTCTTCATACCTTTTGCTGTGGAAATCTTTCCTCCCAAAGACAGAAAAGCTTTAAAATCTTCCTAAAAGTGATTGGCAAAATCTTGGTTTATCCACTGGTGTCTTCATTTGACACTTCACATACACTGTTTGTGTGGGAATTTGGTCTCATGCTCTTAAAGGTTGCCCCCTTGTAGCAGTAAAATGCTTTATTTAAATGATTGCATTTTCTGTGTGATTGCTGCATGTGAAAATAATGTATTTGATATATTCTGGTTCATAACCTGTCTTATTTATGCCAAATAAGGAGACAATCAGTAAAATCTGTTCAGGACAATAAATGATCCACTTAAATTGTTCCAGTTGTTTGCAGATAGTTTTATTTTTAAATAAATATCACCTCTTACTGAGAAATCAAATGGAAAATGTGTTGTCTTTGGACTTCATTCAACCAGTGTTTTCTAGTGATTCTGCAGCAATCTTTATCATGGCACCTATTCTTATTCATGCAACTAGTCTGCAGGTGTACATACAACACAACAGAGCCACTTTTCCTATAATTAAAAAAATGATAGGAGAGGGTGTTTGCTTCACAAAGAAGGATAATTGCAGGGGAAATAGAATTTTCAAGCATGTCAAGATCTTAAAAGCAAAAGTGGGTGAATTGTGTGGGGGAAATTGCTTTGGCGGCACCTTTAAACCCATGGAGCTGTAATGGCTGCTGTTAAGCTCAGCTACATCCCTTCCATTCTAGTTAGCCCCAACTTTGTAAGTCATTCATCAATCAGTTTATAAACAGCAGTGTCAGGTGGTAGCATTTGAACCTATTGCAGCTTTCCTTGGTTCCCGCATCTTCATTGTGTGATACAGCGGCTCATCTCCGATAAGCATGATTAGTAGGTAGCTTTCAAATTCAGCTGGTTCCTTTTTTCTATAAATAGAAATATCTATGGAGGTCCACCTGTTTTATTTTAGTATCCCCATTTACCCATAAAGGGCTTATATATTCTAGCCTAGAAACAGAAATTCAGGTAACCAACTTCGGGCTAGAAATTTCTATAGATCCCACTACTGTAATACTGCTATATTACCGTGTTGAAGGTAAACTGCATCCTTCATTGCTCTTAGCCAAGTATGTTATGTGCTGTAAACTAGGCATAGGCTAGTTGCAAGTTGTAAACCTTTTGATACTATAGCTATTCAAAATGTGTAAATAAAGAAAATATTCTCTTTCAGTGGTGATCAAATAATGTGGACTTTCATGGTAATGTGAGAAATGTTAAACTTTGTTTAGTATCTTTTCTGTTTGGGGGGAGGAGGGAGAAACGTTGCCAACTTACAGCTCAACTTCTGCCTAAGGCCTTCTTAAATAACGTTACTGACTTTAAGATTAATAACCTTTCTTAAATTTAGAACTTAAAATCAGGTAAATTCTGAAGGAGGGGATACAAACACATCTAGAATATGCTTCTTTTAAAAATGTGCCTGTTATTTTTCCCTACGGGCTTCTTGATTTCAGAAATCAAGTAAAATTCCTAGCAAGACTAACATTAGCTTTGCCATTTCACAACAAAATCCTTTCTACTTGCATTACTAGCCGATTCAAAACAAAACCATTTTCTGCATAGTACATCGGTGCATTTAAATAGGTTATTCATTTGTAATGCACATGGTTTTGTAGTATCTGTGTTCTATAAAAAATTAACTCAGTTTGTCTATACATAAAGGAGCCTGCTGTTCTTCACTCTTACCTTTAGCTGCCCTACAGTATACCATAAGAGGACTGCTTTTCTATTGAGTTATTATTCAACTAAAGTATTTTGCCTCTGTCTCAATGATCTCTAAAGTTTTGTGGCAACATTCCCAATGAGCAGGCCTACACTGAATGTGTACTTCATGTGTCTGTGCTAAGTTTTTAGGGTTTAATCTCGCTTGAGTTCTTTCCAGCTTCACTTTTAAATGTGGTTTTGTGGTATTTGTGAGTAGTTGCTAGAATAACGAAACCTTTCACTGATGTTTGCTTAGTGCAACTAGTGATCTAATACAGTTCTTAAGAATGGCCATACTGGGTCAGACCAAAGGTCCATCTAGCACAGTATCCTGTCTTCCAACTGTGGCCAATGACAGGTGCCCCAGGCGGAATGAACAGAACAGGTAATCAAGTGATCTATCCCCTGTCACCTATTCCTAGCTTCTTCAGGGGAATGAACAGAACAGCAATTTTGAGTGATCCCTCTCGTCCACTCTCAGCTTCTGGCAGTCTTAGATTCATAGACTTTAAGGTCAGAAGGGACCATCATGATCGTCTAGTCTGACCTGCACAACGCAGGCCACAGAATCTCACTCACCCTCTCCTGTAATATTTGTAACATCCTGTAACATCACAGGCCATTGGGCATACTTACCGCTAATAGTCAAAGATCAATTAATTGCCAAAATTAGGCTATCTCATCATACTATCCCCTCCATAAATTTATCAAGCTTAGTCTTGAAGCCAGATATGTTTTTTGTCCCCACTGCTCCCCTTTGAAGGCTATTCCAGAATTTTACTCCTCTGATGGTTAAAAACCTTCGACTAGTTTCAAGTCTAAACTTCCTGATGGCCAGTTTATATCCATTTGTTCTTGTGTCGACATTGGTACTGAGCTTAAATAATTCCTCTCCCTCCCTGGTATTTATCCATTTGATATATTTATAGAGAGCAATCATATCTCCCCTCAGTCTTCTTTTGGTTAGGCTAAATAAGCCAAGTTCTTTGAATCTCCTTTCATAAGACAGGTTTTCCATTCCTCAGATCATCCTAGTAGCCCTTCTCTGTACCTGTTCCAGTTTGAATTCATCCTTCTTAAACATGGGAGTCCAGAACTGCACACAGTATTCTAGATGAGGTCTCACCAGTGCCTTGTCTAATGGTACTAACACTTCCCGTCTCTACTGGAAATACCTTGCCTGATGCATCCCAACACTGCATTAGCTTTTTTCACGGCCACATCACATTGGCCGCTCATAGTCATCCGGTGATCAACCAATACTCCAAGGTCCTTCTCCTTCTCTGTTAATTCCAACTGATGAGTCCCCAGTTTATAAAAAAAAATTCTTGTTATTAATCCATAAATGCATGACCTTGCACTTTTCACTATTAAATTTCATCCTATTACTATTACTCCAGTTTACAAGGTCATCCAGATCCTTCTGTAGGATATCCCTGTCCTTCTCTGTATTGGCAATACCTCCCAGCTTTGTGTCATCCGCAAACTTTATTAGCACTCTCCCACTTTTTGTGCCAAGGTCAGTAATAAAAAGATTAAATAAGATTGGTTCCACAACCAATCCCTGAGGAACTCCACTAGTAACCTCCCTCCAGCCTGGCAATTCACCTTTCAGTATGACCCATTGTTTTCTCTCCTTTAACCAGTTCCTTATCCACCTTTCAATTTTCATATTGATCCCCATCTTTTCCAATTTAATTATTAATTCCCCATGTGGAACCGTATAAAATGCCTTACTGAAATCGAGGTAAATTAGATCCACTGTGTTTCCTTTGTCTAAAAAATCTGTTACCTTCTCAAAGGAGATCAGGTTGGTTTGGCATGATCTACCTTTTGTAAAAGCATGTTGTATTTTGTCCCAATTACCATTGACCTCAATGTCCTTAACTACTTTCTCCTTCAATTTTTTCCCCAAGACCTTGCATACTACAGATGTCAAACTAACAGGCCTGTAGGTACCTGGATCACTTTTTTTTCCTTTTTTAAAAATAGGAACTATGTTAGCAATTCTCCAGTCATACGGTACAACCCCTGAGTTTACATATTCATTAAAAATTCTTGCTAATGGGCTTGCAATTTCGTGTGCCAGTTCCTTTAATAATCTTGGATGAAGATTATCTGGGCTCCCAGATTTAGTCCCATTAAGCTGTTCGAGTTTGGCTTCTACCTCAGATGTGGTAATATCTACCTCCATATCCTCATTCCCATTTGTTATCCTGCCATTATCCCTAAGCTCCTCATTAAAGGCTGAGGCAAAGTATGTGTTTAGATCTTGGGCCATTTTTAGATTATCCTTAACCTCTACTCCATCCTCAGTGTTTAGTGGTCCCACTTCTTCTTTCTTTGTTTTCTTCTTATTTATATGTCTATAGAACCTTTAACTATTGGTTTTAATTCCCTTTGAAAGGTCCAACTCTACATGGCTTTTGGCCTTTCTCACTATATCCCTACATGTTCTGAACTCAATAAGGTAGATTTCCTTGCTGATCCCTCCCATCTTCCACTCCTTGTATGCTTTCTGCTTTTTCTTAATCACCTCTCTGAGATGCTTGCTCATCCAGCTTCGTCTACAACTCCTGCCTATGAATTTTTTCCCCTTTCTTGAGATGCAGGCTTCCGATAGCTTCTGCAGCTTTGACTTGAAGTAATTCCAGGCCTCCTCTGCCTTTAGATCCAGTCAGAAGCTTACGGATACCCAGGGCATGGGGTTGCATCCCTGACCGTCTTGGCTAATAGCCATTGATGGTCCTATCCTCCATGAATTTATCTAATCCTTTTTTGAACCCAGTCATGGTTTTGGCCTTCAAACATCCCTTGGCAAGGAGTTCTACAGGTTGACTGTGTGTTGTGTGAAGAAGTACTCCCTTTTGTTTGTTTTCAAACTGCTTCCTATTAATTTCATTGCGTGACCCCCTGGTTCTTGTGTCATGTGAAGGGGTAAATAACACTTCCTTATTCACTTTCTCCACACCATTCATGATTTTATAGACCTCTATCATATGCCCCTTTAGTCGTCTCTTTTCTAAGATGAACAGTTGTAGACTTTAATCTCTCCTCATATGAAAGCTGTTCCATACGCCTAATCATTTTTGTTGCCCTTCTATGTACTTGTTCCATTTCAGTATATCTTTTTAGAGATGAGATAACCAGAACTGCATGCAGTATTCAAGTTAGGCATACTATGGATTTATATAGTGACATTATGATATTTTCTGTCTTATTATCTATCCCTTTCCTAATGTTCCTAACTTTGTTAGCTTTTTTTGACTGCCACTGCACATTGAGTGGATATTTTCAGAGAACTGTTCATGATGACTCCAAGATCTCTTTCTTGAGCAATAACAGTTAAGTTAGACCCTATCATTTTATATTTGTAGTTGGGATTATGTTTTCCAATGCACATTACTTTGCATTTATCTACACTGAATTTCATCTGCCATTTTGTTGCCCGCTCACCCAGGTTTGTGAGATCCCTCTGCAACTCTTTGCAGTCAGCTAGGGACTTAATTATCTTGAGTAATTTTGTATCATCTGTGAATTTTGCCACCTCACTGTTCATCCCTATTTCCAGATCATTTATGAGTATGTTG